ATCTAACTTTTTTTGGTAGTACAATTATTGCACTTTAAAAAAATTGATTTTCCAAAATTACCCTCTAATAATACATTTTTTTGGAAAATATCAATGTCATAATTGTACATTTTATGTTGTTAATAAATTTAAAAGAATGACAAAATAGGAAATTTATATTATTTTTGTACTTAATTTTTGAAAAGAGATTAATATTTTGGAACAATAAAAAATGAGATAAGGGACTAATATTTTGGAATGAAGGGAGTATCAAATATTCCCATGAATGTAGGTCTCACATTCATGTGAGTGCTTGGTAAATTTTTTGATAGAAAATTTGGAATCTTTTGTATGATTGAATTTATTATTCATCATTAATGTGCTTGGGAATTGATTCAGAATTTTTGCATTGATTTTTCTGGCATAAGTGGCTTTTTTTTTTTTAAAAAAAAAAATGGGATTCCTAAATAAACCTGTGATCTCCTTAATACTCTCCTGAATGATTTGGGTATATAAATTGTGTCAACACTAAAATTTGTCAATACAGCACAATTTGGAAATAGAAAAAAAAAAAAAAAATTGCAAAGAAGTCCTATAGAATTTTAGATGGCTAATGAGAACCATAGAGATTTACTTTTGTTGTCTTTTTGGCTTTTCGAAGGGTATTTTTGTAAATGTGGGCGTGCCAGCAAGGATCAATCAGTCCTTACAGAAATTATAATTGCCAACCAATTATCCGACGATTGTGTTTTAGTTCTTTTCAGCCTCAATGAAGAGGACTTTTACTGGTGGCTTGACTTAGGAGAAATTAAGAGAGAAAACAGTAATATGAAGAACAATTGAAGTATTTCATAAAAATGAACACTTACAATGGTCCGAACTCAGCCTCGGAGAGGTTTACAACAGCAATCTACTTGAATCTACTTGAAACTACTCCTATGAATCGAAGTGCAGTGCGGGTATTTAAAGTTCTGGTATTTAAAGAACAGGTATTTAAAGACTGGAAATGTAAAAGACTGGAAAAGAAAATATATGAAATAAATGACTGATTTGTATGATCTGAGTCCGTCCTTTTTTTCTGGGGGCTCTCCTGCTATTTATACTCGTCAGTGATGACCTTCGAACTGCACTTCGAACCGTCGAACTGCTCCTCCATGATCGCTGATCATGCTTCCTTACAAGTAGCTCCATTACGCCATTATTGGTAGTTAAGCTTCCCTCTTGTACTTGAATTTGAATATGAGTAACCGTTGAAGATATGTCATCTTGCATCCCGTTATTGATCTAGTGTTACTCAGATCATGTGAGGACCAATATTTATTGCCACGTGTACGATCGGGATTAAAGGCTTGAATAACCTTCCTTTATTATCCTTACTCTGCCACGTGTCGAACTGTAACTGGCTTTTACAAAATATGTAGCCAACAGGTACGTAGTATAAAATTTCCTTAGTTTAGTTTAGGAAAAAAAAGTAAAATTAACCTATTTTTTAAGGGGAAATAAAAAAAGGAAAATTTACCCATAAGTCCTAGTTTTTGAAACGTTGAACCATTTAGTCCTAAAAGTTTTCTTATGCTCCATTTAGTCCCATTTTTATATCAACATGATGTGAATGATGTAAATGATCTGATGTTTCATTCTATAATTTCAAAATTTATTGAAATCTGATGAACATTAGATGTTTTTCATCCTATATTTTTAAACATTATTGAAATTTGATGAACATTAGATGTTTGAAATCCAATGTTTGTAACATGACTCTGATGTTATTAACATTGTATCTGATGTTAATAACATTGTAATGAGACCTTTCAGCTTATAAGAAAACTTTTAGGACTAAACAGTGCATAAGTTATTAATTTGGGATTTATTGGTGCATCCCCCATAAAAAAATTAGTGGATGTTTAGAATTTTTTATTTTATTAAATTAATCAAAGCGGGACCCAAAAAATTGACGCGTAATTCCAAAAGTGTATTTGGATTGTTTTCGGAACTTTCCTTGGTGGATTTGTCTGTCTGTAGAGATTGATTGTGAAAGTAGTTTATTTTTCTTGACGATCGAAGGCCCGAAGCAAACCCAAGGTTCACATTTCGATCGAGCGAGAGAGATTTGTCGGAATTCAACGTGATCTTTATTGATCGATCAACATGAGTTTTCTATTCGGCAAGAGGAAGACACCTGCAGGTTCACATTTCGATCTTGTTTGAATTTTGTTGCTTGGGTTATCACTCGTTGACAAATCTAATGATTTAATTCGCTTGAAATGTTCTGCATATCCTGGAATTGTAAACAAATAGGTCTCAAATTTTGGTTTTATTTGTTTTGAGATGGTCCTTCTGATCACGATCGTAGAGGCGTATGTAATCTCGAGTTAGGGTTTTTATTGTTTATCATTTCACTGAATTCTTGCTTCTCAATTTTGCTAATTGCGCATCAAAATACTAAAATTGATATAACTTGCGTAGGTAGAGTTTACTTTTGTAATTCATACAAATGGAGTAATTCCTAAGTTGGATAATGTTTTTGAATTCTATGTTTTACTTAATTTAGGTTTGTAAAGCTGCGGCGCTGAATTGGCTTTCAGTTTTGATATGTGGTAAAATCAAAACAATTGAGATGAAAATAGAAAAAGAGGGAAAGAAAACCGGGGGCTTGAAACATATTCTAGGTTCAATTAGTAGAGATGGAGAACTAAGAAGCATGGACACGGACACGTGACACGACACGGATACGACACGGACACGCCGACACGTTAATTTTCAAAAATTGCAGGACACGACACGCGGGGGACACGCATGAAATATATAATTTTATATATTTATTATATGTTATATATATGAATATATCATTCAAAGATAATAAAAATATTAAATATGACAATAATTCTTATGAATTTATATGATTTTTGTTTTATTATTGTATCTTAAGTTGTTTTGTTCAAATTTATAATTGGTTTCACATGTGTCTAATTGATAGACACGTGTGTTTAAGAGATACACATGTATTCTCCAAGTGTCCAAAGAGTGTCCGGGTCTTTAAAAAATGGGACACGTTTTAAAGAGTGTCGGACACGTGTCGGGAAAGTGTCTAAAGAGTGTCGGTGTCTGACACGGATACGACACGGATACGACACGGATACGTTACCTTCTTAGAAGTGTCCGTGCTTCTTAGATGGAGAACCTTCTAACCTCTTCACAAGTGAATTACAAGCTAAGAAGCATCGACACAGACACAACGCAGACATGCAGATCCGTAAATTTTCAAAAAAAATGTAGGACACGACACGTTGGAGGCACGTGATTTTTTTTTTTTAATTTTATATATTTATTATGTGTCATATTTTTAAATATTTAAAATGTATTTTATGTCAAATATTTAATTTTATCAAATTTATCAATTTTTGGTATGTTATTTTATTAAAAAAAATAAAATTTTAATTTTTTTAAAAAACATCGTCCTCAGCATGTTTTCACCATGTCCCTAACGTGTCCTTAGCATGTCCTCAGCATGTCCTCAGTGTGTCTGTAGCGTGTCTGACTATTTCCAGCGTGTCTGACTATTTCCAGCGTGTCCGTGTCAAACTCTCGTACCTGACCTCCGGAGAGGTGTCCGTGCTTCATAGATTGCAAGATATTTTTCATTGATAATTGACTCTACAAGTCACTTGCAAAATAGTAGGCTATCTGATAATGACTTAGGCACTATCTATTACTAGTACTACAGAAGTACAATACTTTAACCACTAAATACTTCTCGAAACTAAATTGAGAATTCTAATACAATGCAAAAACTACTGCAATCGCAATTTCATAGTAGTTTGGATACATGACTATTCGAAAAGTATTTGATACTTCTCAAAATTAACATCAAGTATTAGATATGCTTAAAAAGTATTTGATATGTATTTGCTAGCATCCGATGAATGTCGGTATCTGATGCAGGTAGGATATGGATACGGATATGGATATGACTCCTTTTTAGAAGTATTCATGCTTCATTGTTAAGTGTTATGTTACATTGACACTGGTGTTATTTAACTAAAGTTCATTTTTTACTCCTTATTACTTGACTACAATCATTGTGTGATACTTTTTTGTTTGCAAACATGAACTTTTTGTTACTAGTCATTGCATTTTACATGTAATGCCCTATTAGCATGGAAGACATTGACACGTCAAATTTAATCATCTTGTTCATATCAAAGCCTTATGACCTAGGTATGAATTAGCCTTTTGGGTCATTTTTTGAGTTGCATACTTAATATGTCTTGTTCATATCAAAGCTTTATGACTTAGGTATGACTCAGCCTTTTGGGTCATTTTTTGAGTTGCATACTTAATATATACTAGTGAATGTTGATGCCCTAATGATTGCATTTTGGAAAGCACTTTTTGAAATGTGGTTTACTTTCATTCTAAAGCGGTAAATTCAACAATTTGAAAAGTTTTTGTTTTTTGTTTTTTTTTTCCCAATATATTTTCTTTTATCAAATATAATGATACAAAATATAAAAAATGGGTAATAATGCTCATAGAAATGTGTTGTTACAATATTAATTTAGGCCTCATTTGGGAATATCACAAAGTAGCTTAAAAGCTAAAAAATCACTAAAAATTCCAAAAAGCCAACAAATACCAAAGAGTTAAAGATTTATTTCCATTTACTCTACTTTTTGCACATTTTTTCGTAAAAAACACAAAGTCATCCGAAAAATATTATTTTTTTTCATCTCATATTTTAGCTGAAAAATCACTAAAAAAGCATGTTCCTAAATGAGGCCTTGGATATCTAATTGTTAAAAAAATAATAATAAAAAAAATAAAATAAAATAAAATAAAAAAAACTTGACTGAAAGTACTTTAAATTCTTATAGCGTAAATTACACAAGTCTACCCATATTATACGACAATTTAGAGCAAATGGTGTACCGTGCTCCCATTTCATGTACCAAAACGATCCACATTCCAAGTAACATAGTTATATACCCATGGAGCATGGCATGCACACGTCATTTAATTGGAATACTATTGGAGTCTTACTTTGGGTTGTCGTTCTGCGCAAGGATTAAAATGTTTATTTCCTATAATGATAAAAGGAACCTTCGGTAATGGTTATATCTCGCAAAACTCATGCATTGCATGGCATTTTATGATTTTGAACTCATTGTTTTATTACTTTAGAAGTTGGAATATTGGAAAGAGGGTAAATAGCATAGTAATCCAAGAAGTGAGTCAGTTTTGGAAATGTGTTGTGTATGGTATTGGTACCCGTGCGAGGATTCAAGGTGTCCAATTATCCTGTCTTGTGCTTGATGCCGGACGAATGTAGGAAATGTTTTTGGGCGTCCACTTGTGAGCCAGCAAATGTGGAAAAGATATAAATTTTAGGTGCCCATCGCCTTGCTGTATTGTGAGCCGGTAAATGTGAGAATAATTTTGATATAAAATATATATATTTATATGTAACTGACTTGTGCATTAGAATTCTATGGCGTATTTACTACCCCATAGTTGATCTTGAGTTTGATACTACAAAAGTGCATTGAGCATCATCACTTTAAAAAGGGGGGGGAAAAAAATCATGGATTTTGTTGTAACATGTGCATAACATGATCATATTTATATCAAACGTTTATATATTCTGTTAAAAGTACTTCTACTGGGCAATATTACTCATTCCTATTATAACAACATTTTAGAGATTGGTGATGTGCCCCCACCCAAGTGAAGGATAGTCGATATCTTTTGAAAGGAGCACTAAGGCTCTTTTGTTGTTTATGAGCCACAACTATGGAGCTTATTTGTCTCGAGTTAATGTTTCCTAATTTTGTGTAATTAAGGCCATAGCCTTGAAAGATGTAAGTCATCAGGGTATTTTTATTTGCATTTCTCTTACTCTTTGAACTATTTGTGTATTTATTTTGTTTTTTTGGAAAGATCCGAATGTAATGTGAACATGTATCACTTTTGAGAAGTTCAAGGAGGAAGAGAAGTACTTTTCAGGTATCAGATTGATATGTTCCATATATTTCTTTGGTGCTTCTACTCGTAATGTAAAATGAGAATAATTATAAAGGATTTGTAATTATAATAGGAATAAAATACGGGGGTGTTACATAGTCTCTCCCATCTCGCTTGTGGCTGTCCATGTGGATGTATTTTCCTACTGGAAAAGATAAAAACTAAGCTGATCAATAGAGATCTGATGGGTTATTTGTCTTAATACTAGTATAGTACATACAATATGTAGTAACTAAAAGATGTTGAGATTTCAAACTTGAACTTGCCCTTGTCTGTAACCACCTTCAACCTCATTTGTGTTTCTCTTGTTTATGCACACTTTCCTGATGATCCAAATGATGAAGCGACAAGTGTAGACAAGGAAAACTATGAAAGTTAGGACCAAGCATGAGTCCAACCATATCGTAAGCCCATTGATGATCATGTGTTCTGGCGAAATGACCTTCATCGAAGAAGAATAAGTGATTACCAAGGTGGTTGTTGTCACCCACACTGCATCTATTAGCAACAACCTCACAATTCTGTTCTTTAGTGGTAACCCACTCACAAGCAAAAACATTATGCTTAGAGAAGCAACAAAAGATATTGTGTTGGCGATCCAAAATACTTTAAAATCTGCTGGAAATGTCACAGCCATATTGGATTTTCCATTTGGGTTAAGCCCACCTGGTGGGCTAAGCCCAGATTGGTAAGCCATTCCTGCAATTACAGTTGCGGATACCAGCAAGCCATTGCGTTTTCTATTTAACCAATCATCTTTGTTCGTTGGGGGCTTCAACGTGCCATTGACTGGCGAGGGTGGCTGTGATAATAATACTTTCCCATGACCCCTACCATGATCACGCAGTTGGTGGCCAATGTGGCCTCCAGCTTGCATAAGTAATTTACTGATTTCCATGGCCTTTAAATCTCTAATTGGCATATGTTCTACGATATCCAATGCCGTGATACCATTTCCATTCACAGCATTCACTTCCACCACAGTTTCTTCCAATAGGTATTTTATGGTCTGCACAAATTAATACAAAGGAATCTATATATGGTGTATCTAATTAATTCTAATTATTTTGCTACCAATTATTAGAGGTATTTCTATTGAAATTTTGATTAGTACCACATATATAAAGCATGGTGTCTGCCGTCATTTGTTAAGTAAAGTGTTATTTGATAAAGCTCAAAATTAAAAATTGAAAAACATAAAATTAAAGTTTTGAAAACTGAATGTTAAATTTTTTAAAGTTGAAATGTTATTTGATAAAAATTTAAGTGATGAATTAAAATAAATTATACTTTTTATATAAAGTAGATACTATTTGAACTCAAAAAATATCTCAATATGCCCAATTTAAATTTATAAATTTTAATTTCTATTATATCATAATATAAATTTACTAATAAGGATAACACATATTAAACCCTAAAATAATTTTTTTTCTACTCATGGTACACCTTAATCCATTATTCCTATTCAAATCTCTACATCTTCTTCCCCAAAAGATCAAAGTTATTTTGTCTTCTTGTTCATGTTCTTGTTCTTTTTTCTCACTCCAAAACTCCAATCTACTCTATCAAAACTCACCATTATCATTAATATCATTATTTTTTTATTATTTTGAAACCTTAAACCCTAGAAAAAAGTTTGAACAATTAAACAATGAATGAAAGTGATGATCAAGATAATTTTTTGAAGCAACCCATCAAAGAGGAGATAAGCATTCATATAAAAATTAATTTCTATATTTTTTCACATGTCCCATTACGATGTTAAATCTTTTAATTTTCACAATCATATAAATAGTATTATAACTTTTAATAAAAAATTCTTTGAGATAATCTTTGAACTCAATGACCATGTTAGTATCCTTCACAAAAAAAAGGAGGTATATCCTGCGGCACCTTTTAATATTTTTTTTTTCTATCCTTTTTACTCTTTCTTTGTTGAACTTTATGTTTGTTTTGAAAAAAAAAAAATAAAAAACTTTCATTTTCTATTATTTTCTTCGCGCATATTCCTCAATTATTTTATTCTATGGCTATGTTTTTATTCACCAAAGCATTTTCAATAATTTTTTATTTTTATTTTTATTTTTATGCGCACACACTTAAATTGTGAAAAATATATAGAAGCAAATTCAATAAAAGAGGTAAGCAAAGCAAAGTAGTCGAGTGTTTTCCCATTCAAGCATTTTGTCAAACATATACTAATCAACAAATTAGAATAGCAAACCGGTAATTGAATTGTCAAACACATAGTAATCAACAAATTGTTATAGCAAAATAGCAAGAAATACAAAAAAGACAGAGGCAAGGAGATGAAGCTTGTCAATGGTGACTCTGATTATAGAGTTCTTCGCCGATACCTCCTGTGTATCAGTTTGAAAGGTTTTTTAAATACTTTTTATTTTTATTTTATAATTTGATTATTATTTATTATTTGGATTTATTAAGCATAACTCAGGAAAAATTATAGGGTGTACTAAGAGTAATATAAAATTTTAAATAATTGAAAAGGGTACACTTAAAAATAGGAAGCACTTAATGATTTTTTGGGGTAAATAAAATCTCCCCTATATGCATCCTTTTGTTACTTATAATACAGGGCTGGCCCATGTGCAAGGTCATTAAGATCATTGTCTTAGGTCTGAAAATGAGAAAGATCTCCAATTTTCAAAAGGTACTTTATACGTGATTCACAGCACAAAATCCGTCAATAACTTTAGCACAATGAAAACCCAATTATTATAAAGTTAAAAAAAGTGCAAGTTTATAACTTGTTAAAAGCAACACAACTTTTCTCTCTTAGCAATTCTGTGTTATTTTTTAATTTTTAATTTCTATAATTTCTATGTAAGGAAGTAAATAAATAAATGCAACAAGGAAACAAAATTACTTTATTTTATATGAATTTGACATTGATTAAATCTTAATTGCATTATAAGTAAAGTTTATTTTATTTTATATATCATATATATAGCTTTATTTATTTTTATAATGAAATATTTTTATTTTTAATGTGTTAAATTAAGTTATTCTTGATTGTGAACCTAGTTTGTATCAGATGACTCAATAATTTGTGAGGCAAACAAAGAACAACCATTGTTAAAACTATTTGGACACTTATAAATCAAATTCAAACAAACTAAAAAACTGGGGTGAGGTGTTTTGTAAAGGGTGTTTTCATTCAATAATTTTTTATTTTATTTTTTGTGGATCAGAGAATTAAACAACAATAACAAATAACAATTAAGAAAACTTTTACCTCCACTTGCTTGAGGTTGGTAGCAATGTGCAAAATAGTGTTGCCATTATCAAGTTTGTCATTTACCCATGTATCCTCAACCGTCCTAAATCTTATCAATAGCTTCAAAACCTCCAAACGATTATATTCCACACACAAGTGCAGAACAGTTTCACCTCGATCCAACTGGAACTTAGCTACTTCTGGTCGTGCCCGAACCAACTGGTTCACCACATCAACTCGGCCTTTAATGGCAGCCACATGAAGAGGAGTCCTCCCGTCCTCATCTCGGACGAGACAAACACTAGGGTTTGCCATTAACAACACCTTCACTATCTCGATATACCCATTTGCAGAGGCCAAGTGAAGAGGCGATCGGCCCTTTGAATCTAAATCAGAGACCAAGTCTTTCTTGAGAGTCACAAGAGCTTTTCCAAAACCCAGATGACCTTGCATAGCAGCTATGTGAAGAGGATTCTCATCGAAACAAGTGAGTGAAGATCGGGACACAGTGAGTCTATCTTCTTCAATCAACTTCTTCAAGGACTCAGTATTCCCACTCACTGATGCTTCATAAAGCATATTCTCTCTCATACCTATCTCAGTCTCATGAGTTCCTTCCATTTTGGCACTTGGTGCTTGACTTGCTGATAGAAAGTTGAAAACAGTATCCTCTCTCTTGTGGCTTTGCTTGCTTGCTAAAACGCTTTGCACTCAAACTCTACTTTTGTCTCCGTATACCTTCATTCTCCATGTGGATCCGTCAAATTATACAACAATATTATTGCGGATTTGGAATACCATCCTGCAGCAAAAATTTCAGTATCAGGATTGGATTGCCCCACTTGTTTATTACCCTACTCGTAAACCACTTGTTTACGAACAGCCATTAAACGGCTGCCACATCAGTGATAATATTTATGTGGGTATTGATTGAGAAACATTATTCAATACTCCCTGGGTAATTGACTTTTAAAAGTCTAATATGAAAATAGTGGAGTTTATAGTTTAGACCAACAACTATGACATTGGAACATCACTAGTATTTGTTCAAAGCCTTTTAAATAATTCAATCAAATATTTATATGGATATTGATTGGGAAAAATTATTCAATACTCCATTGTCTTTTGAAAGTCTAATATGAAAATAGCAGGGTTTATAGTTTGAGAAATACTTTAGACCACTAATTAGTGGTGGCTCTAATAATGTGGCAGTGGGTCCCACCTACTACCACAGTGTGTTTATGCCTTGTTTTTTTTTTTTTTTCAATTGCCACCTCACTAGTGGTGGGATTAGTGATGGCAAATTAGTGGTCTATAGCATTACTCTTATAGTTTAGACCAACAACTATGACATTGGAACACTAATAGGATTTGTTCAGAGACTTTTAAATAATGTCTCAACGACTGAATTCAGACAAATATTTATATGGGTATTGATTGAGAAAGATTATTCAATATTTCCTGCGTAATTGTCATTTAAAAATCTAATACGAAAATAATGGAGTTTCTAGTTTAGACCAACAACTATGACATTGGAACACCACTAGGATTTGTTTAGAGCCTTCTAAATAATTTCACATTGAATGAATTCAGTCATTATATGGGTATTGATTGAGAAAGATCATTCAATACTCCCTAACTAATTGTCTTTTAAAAGTCTAATACGAAAACAATGGATTTTATAGTTTACACCAACAATTATGGCATTGGAAGGCTTTGTTTAGAGCCTTCTAAATAATTTCTCATTGAATGAATTCAATCAAATATTTATATGGGTATTGATTGATAAAGATTATTCAATACTCCCTGAATAATTGTCATTTAAAAGTCTAATATCAAAATAGTGGAGTTTATAGTTTAGACCAACAATTATGACATTGGAACATCACTAGGATTTGTTCAGAGCCTTTTAAATAATTTCTCATTGAATGAATTCAATCAAATATTTATATGGGTATTGATTGGGAAAGGTTATTCAATACTCTATTGTCTTTTAAAAGTCTAATATGAAAATAGCAGAGTTTATAGTTTAGACCAACAACTATGACATTGGAACATCGCTAGGATTTGTTCAGAGCCTTTTAAATAATGTCTCAATGAATGAATTCAGACAAATATTTATACGGGTATTGATTGAGAAAGATTATTCAATACTTCCTCAGTAATTGTCATTTAAAAATTTAATATGAAAATAGCGGAGTTTATAGTTTAGACCAACAACTATGACATTGGAACACCACTAGGATTTGGTTAGAGCCTTCTAAATAATTTCACGTTGAATGAATTCAGTCATTATATGGGTATTGACTGAGAAAGATTATTCAATACTCCCTGAGTAATTGTCTTTTAAAAGTCTAATATGAAAATAGTAGAGTTTATAGTTTACACCAACAACTATGGCATTGGAACACCACTAGGATATGTTTAGAGCCTTCTAAATAATTTCTCATTGAATGAATTCAGTCAAATATTTATATGGGTATTGATTGAGAAAGATTATTCAATATTCCCTGAGTAATTGTCTTTTAAAAGTCTAATATGAAAATAGTGGAGTTTATAGTTTAGACCAACAACTATGACATTGGAACACCACTAGGATTTGTTTAGAGCCTTCTAAATAATTTCTCATTGAATGAATTCAATGAAATATTTATATGGGTATTGATTGCGAAAGATTATTCAATACTCCCTGAGTAATTGTCTTTTAAAAGTCTAATATCAAAATAGTGGAGTTTATAGCTTACACCAACAACTGTGACATTGGAACAACACTAGGATTTGTTTAGAGCCTTCTAAATAATTTCTCATTGAATGAATTTAGTCAAATATTTATATGGGTATTGATTGAGAAAGATTATTCAATACTCCCTGAGTAATTGTCATTTAAAAGTCTAATACGAAAATAGTGGAGTTTATAGTTTACACCAACAACTATGACATTGGAACACCACTAGGATTTGTTTAGAGCCTTCTAAATAATTTCTCATTGAATGAATTCAGTCATTATATGGGTATTGATTGAGAAAGATTATTCAATACTCCCTGAGTAATTGTCTTTTAAAAGTCTAATATGAAAATAGTGGAGTTTATAGTTTACACCAACAACTATGACATTGGAACACCACTAGGATTTGTTTAGAGCCTTCTAAATAATTTCTCATTGAATGAATTCAATCAAATATTTATATGGGTATTGATTGAGAAAGATTATTCAATACTCCCTAAGTAATTGTCTTTTAAAAGTCTAATATGAAAATAGTGGAGTATATAGTTTAGACCAACAACTATGACATTGGAACAGCATTAGGATTTGTTTAGAGCCTTCTAAATAATTTCTTCTTGAATGAATTCAGTCAAATATTTACATGGGTATTGATTGAGAAAGATTATTCAATACTCGCTGAGAAATTGTCATTTAAAAGTCTACTATGAAAATAGCGGAGTTTATAGTTTACACCAACAACAATGACATTGGAACACCACTAGGATTTGTTTAGAGCCTTCTAAATAATTTCTAATTTAATTAAATCAGTCAAAATTTATATGGGTATTGATTGGAAAAGATTATTCAATACTTCGTGAGTAATTGTCATTTAAAAATCTAATATGAAAATAGTGGAGTTTGTGGTTTAGACCAACAACTATGACAATTGAACAACACTAGGATTTGCTTAGAGTCATTGAATGAATTCAGTGAAATATTTATATGGGTATTGATTGAGAAAGATTATTCAATACTCTCTGAGTAATTGTCATTTAAAAGTCTAATATAAAAACATATGGAGTTTATAGTTTAGACTAACAACTGTGACATTGAAACATCACTAGAATTTGTTTAGAGCCTTTTAGCCTTAGGTGGTGTTTGGCAAGTGGTTTAGGGGCTAAAATAGCCGACAAAATAGGCTATTTTAGCCACAACAAACAAAACATCACATTCAACTCATAATCATTACACTCTTCTCTCACAAAAAAAAAGTCAAAAACCCTTCCCAAACCAAGCTTTTTAGCCCAGGCTAAAATAGTCCAAAAAGCCAAATAACCAAAAAGCCAACTCACTTCCCAAACGGAGGCTAAATAATTTCTCATTAAATGAATCCTGTCAAATTTGGCATCTCATAATTTTCTTATCCCTCATGAGCTCTCTCTGCGCATCCACCTCCGCCATCCTCTTTTCTCTCCCAAATCCCAAATCAATAAAGACTCTGCCATCCTGGAATTCTCGAATGGACCGCGGACAAAAATTTCGATATTACTTAATTCCGTCCACTCAATTCTTGATTTGTTTCACTTCGCTTGAATACTCAACCTGTCCAAGCTTATAAAAGATGATTTAAGTTTTTGAATAAAAGTTTGTAAGCTACGCCTGCCTATGAACCCAACCTGTAAGAACCTGAATAATTAAGGCTAACCCGACTCAAACCATCCCGTTGAAAAATAATAATAAATTGATATTTGATATTTGATATTTGTTATTCCTTACTAATATTTACCAAAATATTGTGGTATATATATATATGTTAATAACTAGTTTAATTTTTTTTTTTTGTTATTATTACTGATTCTATAGTAATTTTATTGTTTGATTATTTGTTTTTATTCTTCTATTTTGAGCATTGCTTAGTTGTTTTCTTGTGAAATAAAATATATGTTACCAAAAAATAAAAATAAATAAATAACATCTTTTGTTTTAGACTTATTTAGGAATTTTTGGTCTAAAGTTTGTGAACGGTTCTAGCCTTGTGTGATGCTAGTCTTTCCTTTTTTTTCCCCTTGTAAGTGTTATAAATAAAATTACATTATGTTCCTTGATTGTTTTTTAATTATATGAGATGTAAAATAGTAAAAAATATATATGAAAAATACTTGAATTATGTTGGAAAGTAAAAAAAAAAAAAAAGATAACTATTAAAAATATTAAAAATATGTGAATGAAAAATGTATAGCAATTAATAATATAAGTCTAATAAAAAATGTGTAACCCAATTCGGTTTGATTTTGGCCCATAAAATCTGAATTTATAGATGAAATGTGGTTTTAATATTTTAAATAAGCTCAACTGGTCAAAGTTGGAAAAACCTAGTTAATATATGGGAAAGGGACACAATAGTTGCGGGATGGGTAAGCCCGGCCTATCCCATTGCTGACCTCTACTGCCTCCTTCCTTGCCCACTACCACCACCTTTTCCCTCCCTCTATCACAACCTCCACCACCGTCTCATCCCTTCTGCATTTTGCTCTTCCCCCAACCCCAACCACCGACCTCCTTTTTACATAGCTCTCTTTAATTTTATCCTCTATTCCCATCGTAACCATCTCCTTCCAACACCAACTATAAACCCCAAATTATCATCGAACCCATCATTTTCACCATAAACACACCACCATTGTCAGACAATTTTTATCTATTATATTTTACTATTTATTGACCCAGTCTATTGACTTCAATGTGCGATATAATTGATCTAAAATATGGTCTCGAATCTCGACCCCAACAAAAACTCAAAAGTGTATCAGTCGTTGGAGGTTGTAATGGAGAGGGTTTTGTGGCGGATATGACCGGAGGCGATGTTTGGAAGGTAGAGGGAGAGGGGTTTCGTGCTAAGGAAGAGAAATAGAAGGATAGGGAGATAGCTTAGCGATAAAGGGAAGAGATAGTGGGTTGTGAAAAAGATGGAGTTGGTCAGTGGTACGGGTTGTGTGTAGGCAAGGATGTGGCGGTGGTTGGGGTTGGGAGAAGGAGATAATGGAGGGAGGAGGCCATGGTGGCGGTGGTGGATTTGGAAAGGGGGAGGAGAGGGAAACAAGGGCGGAACGAGGATTTTCAATTAATGTTTTCTCATTCAGATTCTTTTCAAATATATTTTTTTACAATAGTACAATTTCAAAAGTCTAATTGATGTACAGATCTTATCACATTGTGTATTATTATTTCATC